TAAAGATAAAAACAAATGCAAATTAGAGCAAAATGTCATTGACTTCTTTCCCAAAATAGTCAGCACTGTTGATACAATTGATCTAGAGCTGATCCTGACATGGTTGAAAATATCTGTTTGGATGTATTGCAGCGTCAAATTAAAGATTATTTAGAAAAACATTATGTAAATTTTTCATTTTGGTCTTTTTGAAATCATATTTCATAATAAAACTAATAAAAACTTCATTTCAAAATAAAGGATTGAATATTGTATATCTGAATGGCCATTTCCAGCAGGGATGGCAAGCTTGATCTATTTAACTAGTAGGTAGCTAGTCATACTGATTAAATGACTGCAGCAAATAGACTGGGAATTAAAAATGTATGTAAAGTTATAGAAAGTATTTTGATATTTTACTATAACAATAAATAAATATGCCTCCTACTTATCTTTTTAATAATAGTTTGTAGTGCACATAACATTTACTCCATAATTCCTGAATATATATTTTGGAGATTTTTTGCAATTAGCCATGAGATACAGGAAAAAAAAAGATGTCTATAAACATATACATAAATAAATAACATACATGTGTATGCTTTTAATAGATAATGGACAGAGAACTGAGTTATAGTGGTGTCATCAGAATAATTACATCATACATCCTTTACTGTTTTCAGGTTTTCTGTGAATGTATGACGGACGTGATGTAAAATAAATTTGTAAAAACGTAAACAAATCTTATCAAATGTAAAAAGAGAGCACATACAGTACCTTAGTATACAAATGATTAAAACTTAAATGCCAATTTATAATTATTTTCCTGATAGCTTTGGTGAATGGAATATTATGGAACATTAAGGCAAAAAGCAGAATTTATGGACTGAGAAAGTGAATATGTCATTACGGCTGCATATCACCAGCATGCATGAGATGAAATCCTCAGAGTCTTATAAACTTAGACATGAGACAATAGACTTTGGTTGTGATTCTGATCTCTGTGTATTTGAGACTAACAATGGTCCAAGTATATCTAACAGGTCAAGCTTTGAAATGAAGAAGCAATAAGCCAGTGAAATGGTACTATCACCGAAACATGATTGATCAATTGAATTCTATCAGAGACAGTGGACAGTGAGATTAACTCAGGCCTGATAGGTTCAATGAGTTAAAGCATGATGTTCATTTCAGCTTCATTTCACCAGTCTTTGCTTGTGAAATTGGTCAATCAATAGAGGTTGAAGATCATATATATATATATTGGTGACCATCTTATAGAGAGTATAATCTAGTGTTGTCAGCTCTGGACTCTGCCTGTCTTCAGTGCGTAATGGAGACAGAGATGAGACTCTATCAGTGCCATCAAAATGGCCTGATATCGTCTCCAAATGAAAAGTATTTTTGGATCTCTGATGATTTATCTTTTCTTTTTTTCCTCCACTGCGCCCCCCCCCCCCCCTTCGTCTCCTAGTGCCTTTGATCTGCAGCAAAACCTCATAACTTCTTGGAGAAATATAGTGATATCTCTTGAAAATATTTGTGGAGTGATGAACTACAATACATAAAGGTTTTTCTCCCTCCTCCTTTAGTGATATTATCCTTTAGAATAATACCATTTGGGAGACTACAATACAGAGAACTTTTCTACATTTGATGATTTTGAAATCACATGTTTGGTATTTACATAGACAAAATGAATATATTACTTGTCAGATAAAGACAGATTTTTCAGGGTGGTAATATTACAAACCTTGCCAAGTAATAATTTAATGAAATATCTCCTCACCCTCATACGGTAGCCTTAATTACAGGCAGAGTGATAGAAGAAAAAAAATATATATAGCAGTTTCTGCATCCTGATAATATTTTACTTGCATGCATAGTTCAGTATTTTAAAATGTATAATTTAATGCTTTCCTAACTAGCTTGCCTTAATAAGATGGAAAAATTTTGCTAAGTCAGTAAATCAGATACAGCAACAAATGTGGAGAATGAGAAAGGATATGATGAGTTGGAAGTATGAAAAATTGCAATTTTTATGAATTGAGGCCATTCAAATAGTATTCTATTCTATTGGTTCTTAATTTCTAACTACATACTGAATTTTATTGCAAGTGTTTTATAGCTCATATAAAATCCTTATGTATTTTTTAATTCTAACAATTTGCATTAGTTCATATTACATAATAATTTGGACTAGGTGGCACTTATAAGGTTTTTTTGATGTCTTATAATTGTTTTTCTTTTTACAGGATCACTCTCATTTGTAGAATGCTTATTGTATAACATATAAAATGCTCATCAAGAGCCAACAAATTCAAATAGCTATGGAATGTTGCACCAAATGTTGCACCAAACCAAGTCAGGGCTTCATTGTTGCTCATGGTTATTTTTTATGGCTTTGCTCATGTCCTTAGGGAATTGAATGGAACAATGGGTGCAATTATTGTTTGAGTGATCTTTAGAGCACATAGGTTCTTAGATATTGTTATAATTTTTGCAGATTGCTGGATGCACAGAGAGCATCAATATTGGACTATTTTCCTCCTCCTCCCACTTGAAGAATTCAAACCAATATAGAATTTACAAGTCTACATCTTAACTATTTATTCAATCAGACTAATTTGCCTTATATTAATACTGAATACTTTTTGTTCAGGTAACATTCTGGGCCTGACACTTTTTCAACATGAGTTTAAAGTTCATAAAGACATTTGATTGTAATGCATATTAATAACAGCACTTTCTGTAACTTGTAAACAACTAGTAGGCATGCTCCAAGAAAACAGTGGGAAATGTTTGATTTCAGTAAAGCTGTAATTGATTTTTTCTTTCCATTCATCAGAATTATGTAAATGCACAACTTTAGCATCCAATTGCAAAATAATATTGATTTAACCTAAAAGTCTAATACAAGCATTTTTATGCTCTGCTGAAAGGTACTCTTGGCCTTTTCCAGCCTGCAGTACCTTCCAGATTTTTAATTTTATAAGCCTATGCTTGACTGAACCCAGTACTTGTCCTGTGAGGCATTACATAATTTGGGAAAGTTTGGAATTGTAATCATGAGATACATGTTTGCATGTGTGCATGGTGTGGCATATACACATGTGTATGTATGTATGTACATGTGTGTGTACACACACACACATATATATGTTTTCTGAGGTTCTCGCGGGTATTTGTATGTGGATCTTTGGTTATTTGGGTTTTCTTCCGCATAAGATTGGAATTATCTAGCCTAGATACTTCCAATCTTACGCGGGAGAAAACCCGAATAACCAAAGGTATATATATATATTTTTTTTCTTAAGTTTTCGCGGGAACTTACATGTATGGCATTCAGCTTTGTTCAGGTATTTTCCCACATCATTATAGTTGTGCTTTTTAAGTTGTAGCAACGTTTCGGCAGAATCTCATCTGCCATCATCAGGCTTCTGTAGAAAATACCCGAACAAAGCTGAATGCCATATATATATATATGTATGTATGTATGTATGTATGTATATGTATATGTATATGTATATGTATATGTATATGTATATGTATATGTATATGTATATGTATGTATGTAGGTCTAGGTGTGTTTGGGTCTTTTCCTGTATAAGATTAAGAGTATCATGGGTGTACCTGTGCAAATTTATGAAAACAAATATATATATATATATATATATATATATATATATATATATAGAGAGAGAGAGAGAGAGAGAGAGAGAGAGAGAGTGAACGTTGACATAGATGCACAATTTTTTGTGTGTAGACTTGCTTTACTGAAACTGCAAGATGGATTGTAGTTTGGACTTATTAATGGCAACTAAATGCTTTTCATTGTTATATGAAAATGTATTGAATGTGCAAGTATATGAAAAAGATTTTTATGAAGGGACAGGAGCTAGAGGGACAGCTGATAGATTTCACCAGTAGGTAATTCTTGTTTAGCAACTGCCTCATTTAGTGACCATTCTCAATTGAAACTTTATGATCAATTCTCACATTTATAATTTTCATATGCCCACCCTGGCCATGCCCATCCCAGCCATCCAAGGTCAAACACAACTCTGATGTGGGCCACAATGAAGTCAAGTTTGACACCCCTGAGCTGTACATAGTCAGTTCCTCCTATTTCTCTTGATATGCTTAGTCCCTCAGACCTCGCACCATGCTGGAATACTAATAATATACTGTATACTATATAAAGCATATGAGTGGAATGAGTGGAAAACTCATCAGCATTGTTTATTTTCATCACTTGATTGACACTTGAACCAAACATTACTTTTTCATAGAAATTAGAAAATCCTTGCTCTAATGCAAATATTTTAAAAATATGAATTTAATTTGTTTATTCCACCTTAGATGTAGGCAAATCTCTCTCTCATCTCTATTTTTTTCAGATCCACTCATTTTTTTTCAGATCAGTGGCCAGATACAATTTTTTGGAGCTAAAGATCTACCAGTTTGCCTCCCACACTTTAGAGATACCACTTCTTAAACTGAAGCAGCAATTCTTCATTACTTTTGGAATGCAGATAGGTACATAGCAGAAAAGAAATATTTGCCATTCCCCTTATTTGTGTTAGGGTCTCAAGGGAAATTGAAGTTACTGTTCAATGAGAGCTTTGTGTTGAATTTAAAGAGGCCTGTATTCTTTTAGAAGACTATATATAAACAACTTGATATTTCAGTATAATTTACAAGAAGAGATATTTTGTGATGTTTTTAATGACTTTTGACTAGCATTATGCTTAATTAAATATTTTCTGTATCAATTACTCAGCAGCTGTATGATCTCTTACACAATTTCATCATAAGTCTCCAGGGATTAGTTTTATGACTATAAACACATAAATGTAAAACTTACCAACGCACACAGACACACAGATACTCATAAGGCAAAGATGTTGTGGTAACCTTTATTTATACGATATGTTACATTTTTAACTTCAAGTGAAAAATATGCTTTAATTGCTGTAGTAATAGTTATCTGTCTCTGCATTTTTCCCCCTTTTGGAAAGGTATTCAGGAATCTCCTATACCAAATGGCCATTCGCTTCCAGGTCGAGACTTCCTTCGGAAACAAATGCGGGGAGATATTTTCACTCAGCAACAATTAGAAGTATTGGATCGAGTTTTTGAAAGACAGCATTATTCTGACATCTTTACGACAACTGAGCCCATCAAACCAGAGCAGGTAATATTTAAAGCTGAAGAAACTTTTTTCCTTACCAGTTTCATATTTGTCACTTATATTACTGTCACTCACATAAGTTTGAATTGAATACTTTTAATACTTGGAGAATCATATTTGAAAACAAGTATTATCAGCTTCAGTATTATCATGTTCAGTTTTTACTATTCATGAATAATTGGACCCAAGAATTCCCATGAGCTCACAAAAAACTAAAGCGCCAACAAAATGCATGGTAAAAATAAATTAACATAAAATAAAGGACTCCTACTGCAGAATATGAAGGGAGAACATGAGTTAGCAGGACTTTAAAAAAAAACCTCTGTGCAATCTAATCTTGATTTGTGTTTCACATATGTATTAAATTAATCAGGGCAACATACCTCTAAAGTCAGAGATGTTCAACCATGTTTGGGATAAGGGACTTGTTGGGATTTTGTTTGATCCTGCATAGTTTGAAATTGAGACAGTAAATTAGGCAAACAAAAACTAAATTTCAATTTAGATTTACTGAATTCAATAAAATGACTACTTTTTGTTTATTTCAATTTTTGTCTATCTGTCAGATTTAAAATTACAGCTTGGTGACCTTATCTAAGGATGGGGGGATGGGGACGGATGGACATCAACCCTTCATATAAGCCATGTTTTTCCTTATTCTCGCACTGAACTTGAGACTATGACTCTAAATGAAATTAAGCATACATTGACATCTGTGACACAGATTTCTCTATACCTCTTCCTGCCAATCTTGGTTGTTCTCTGCCCATTCTAACTGCCTTCTCCCCTCTTCATACTAAAATATTAGATGAAAATTATAGAATGACTGATAACATTAGAGGCTCTTGCAAACATAGAATATCTTCTAAGGTATCTTGCATATAGACATCTCTACTGTACAGAATTTTCAATATTTTCCTCCTTTGGATCAATTATCTGTTCATTGTCATCTTTTATGCATACCTCTTTGAGGATGGAATCTCTTTCTGAGTTTTAAGATGTTTTGGAAGAATTTTCTTGTTTTTCTGCATCTATTTCCATCCTCATTGATTTTACAGATGCTGGATATTGCTTGTTCTCTCTTCTAACAATTGTCTGAAATTCTTTGTTTTAAGTAATAATCATATTTATTTATTCAATGATATGCAAACTTAAAGGAGCAGTAACACAATGAAGCAAATTAATATGGAATGTACTAAAAGACAAATTGCATAATGATATTACATTCACATCTCTGTTACCATATTAACATGTTAACTAGCCAAGCAATGATAAATTTTAAAAAAAAAGTAAAAGTATGATATAGAGTAAATATCCTGTAGAAATGTATTAATTAAAAATAACTATCTAAAAATGATGCTAGTGATAAAAGTGAAAATTTCTTAAACCAATTACTTCTTTAGCCATTTTTGTCTTATTTTCATTATGGCAATACAAAATTTGGCTACTAGATAAACATTGAATAGATGTTTTTTTATTTAGTTTTTATTGTTTTAAAATGTTTTTATTGTTTTACCTGTATATTTTTTTTAAATGGCATCTGCCCAGAGTTATTTATTGAGATGGGCAGCTATAAAATTTGAATAAATAAACAAATAATAGTACATTTTAAATCCTGGAAAAAAATAATTCAGATAAAATATGCTAGATCTGATATTATTAAAGAAATATCGAAGAAATGGTGGAATAGAATCATTAAATAAAGAATGCTAAAAGAGGGACAAAATAAAATGTGGATGATGAAAATTAAAATAACACTGAAGAAACATTGGTGGATAAGAGTACAATTATCTTGTGTTGAATTACCCTGTGGTGAGTTGTCCTGCATTGAGATGGGCTGGGGCGAGTCAGTGGGTGCAAGTTGGGTGGGGCAATCTGGCCAAGGCAAGCCAGCTACAGAGAGTTATCCTAGACTGATCCAGGGTCTTCATCTGTTTCTTGGTGTTTGGGAGTTTTTAATATTTATTTTTAACAGCTGCTCTGATTTCATTCCACCATTTTCTTGGTTCCTTATCAATTTCCTGAGTTTAAGTCTTCAAAGCAATTCCAAATGTTCCCCTTGTAAATAGGGGTCATATGCTGAAGACCCTATAATGAAAACTGGATGCTTTATTCTTCCACTTCAGTTTGGCTCAGAGCTTGCTCATGAGTAGTTTTATAATTAGCCACATCTTTGCAGTAATTGAGCTCTTCCATCTCCTTGCACCAATAATATAGTCAATTTATATTTGTTGAACTCTGTCTTGTGATGTCCGTGTATGTAGGTATACGTAGACCTTGACTTACGACCACAATTGAGCCCAGATTTTATGTTGCTCAGTGGGAAATTTGTTAAGTGAGTTTTGCCCCATTTTATGACTTTTTTTTGCTACATGTGTTAAGTGAATCACTGCAGTTGTTAAGTTAGTCACAGTGAATGTTGTTAAGGGAATCTGGCTTCGCTGTTGACTTTGCTTGTCAGAAGGTTATCACGTGACCCTGGAACATTGCAGCTGTCATAAATATGAATCAATTGTCAAGCATCCGAATGTAAGCCACATGGGGATGCTGTAATGGTCATAAGTGTCAAAAATCATCATAATTCACTCTTTTCAGTGCTACTGTAATTTTGAATGGTCACTAAATGAACTATTGTAAATTGAGGACTTACCTGTATGATTGCTTGATTGTTTGAAGAATGTGTTAAAATCATTGCAATGGCAGAAAATAAGATATTCTCCTGCCTCATTTAAGTTTTTTAAGCTATAGAGTCCAACTACATTTTCTTTTCTTACTATTTCCAGCTTGGACATTTCAATTACCATCACAAGCAGCACATCTTGCTGCACTCCCTGTTGATTTTAGTTTGAACTTGATGATAATACATGTCAACTTACTTTTTGTCAGCATCACTGGTTAAAGCATAAAGTTGAATAGCTGTCACAATGAAGAATTGTCTAATTGATACCATTCAGTCATTGGTTACTTTGCATCCAATTATTCTAATTTTTTTTACATCCTGAGTAGTCACATGTCCCACTCCAGTGTACTGATGCTTAGGAAGTCAATGTATCTTCATTTCATTTCATCTTTCACTGCATTGAGTTTCCTTGTGACCATGCTTCTTATTTTCCATGCTTCCGTGTAATTCTGTCTTTGCGTCTTGGAGTTTTCTTTTCCTGCTTGGCATCATCAGCGATTAGACATCTTGAAGGCTCATAAACATCACTAGTACTCCAATAAAGCCTCAGCAATTCCTTAGTAGTAGGCTGAACGCCATTCAGCCCTAGGGAATCACTATCCATCGCTATACCATCAACTTCTTTATATTATCTAACCATGTGGGGTTTTTTTTGATAAAACTGGGGGATAGTTTGCTACAGCCTCTTCCTATACAGTATGAAATTATGCCTTTGCTATTATCATTAAAATGGTCGTCCAACTTCAACTTCTTCCTATATCATTAGTGTCCAATACACCGTAAGAGCCTACTTTAGCTGGGCATCTGGATGACTTTCATGCTATTGGTTGACCTTCTGGGTGTATATACTTTTGGTGTAAACTCCAATCATTCTTCACTCATCCATCTCAGGAACATCCCCCTCCATGATGAGATAGCATAGCAGGACTTGAGGCATTATTTATTCAATAAACATCAATAATGAGAAGTTCAGAACAGCCTTTCCAAAACCCAATTTGGGTACCTGGCAGGCCATTACTTAAATGAGAATGCATAATAGATGGGAACCAGCTATCTGTAAACTCTTCTTTTGAAGTTAGTTTTTGAGCCAACCTCATTCTCTGCCAGAGTCACTTTTCAGATTCTAGCAACAGCATTAGTCCTGCAACAGCTTTTGTGTGTGGCAATTTTTGTGTTGCTGCTTGTAAGAACCTTTATGAAATTCTTTTTTATACCCATGAAGACTGAAATTGGAACAAGAGTCTCGCACTGCTAAATAGTGTTCCCAACATTTTTTAAAGTAAAAATCAAGCTGTCAGGGTTGCAATAGATGTCCTAGTGAAAGCAGGACCCTCAAGCAAAGTTTCAAGAAAAATCCAGTTGTTTATTAGGAGCAACATGTCTGCACAGTCCAAATGAAGCCAACTCTGACCCCACTCAGTTTGTGTCTTGCCTCTGACCCTGTTTCCCCCTCCCCTCAAGGTGTATCATCAGTCACATTCCTCAATGAAGCAATTTTGCGGGTCGTAAAACTCACTCTCTCCGGCCGTTACTGCTTTCTGTGGAGATGGCCTTGGCTTTGGCCGCTAGGATGTGCGTTGCTTTGACTGAATTGCAAATTCTTTGATGTAGCTGCAAGGCTTGATTCCCTATCCCGCTGCCTATGGCAACTCGGGAGCAGGTTATGGAAGCTTGGCGAGTTGACACAAACCTTGTTCTAAAAAGTCTCTAACAACTTTGTAGTCTTTCTACTTTTGTGATAGGTCACACAGCCTGATGTTTAAATTAGATAGGTCACACAGCCTGATGTTTAAATTAGATTTCCCAAAGAATGTATAATAATATTAAAAGTATAGTCACAGGATATATGCTATTCCAAGTAAAGTTGACTTTTGCAATTGATGGATGGTGATTTTGTCAATGCTGATCATGTTCAAATGGTGCTCCAATTGTTTTGGGATTGCACCCAAGGCACCTATTACTATTGATATTAACTGTGCTTTCTTTTGCTGCAGTCCTTCTACTTTTATTTTCAGGTCTTTATATTTTGTGATTTTCTCTAATCCCTTCTCTTCTCTTCTGCTGCCTCCAAGTGTTACAGTCCAGATATTTTTGCCTTTCTTATCAACAATTGTCAGAGTGTTGTGTGGCAGATGCTTATTTGTTTAAATTCTAAGGTCTGAGAGCCATGCTAGGTCTTTATTTTCTATTACTTTGTCTATTTTGTGTTTTTACTTGTAGGCAAAGCAGTTTCTTCAGCTTCTTTATAGAGACAGCATTTGCTCTCTCTTGCTGTTTTCCCAATTCTGGCTTTATATGCATTTATTCTTAAGGCTTGGTCTTG